ACATTGTGCTGGATCAGCATCTTCATGATTAAGTTTAACTTCAAGATCAATTGGCATATTTTTAATACTTTTCATTTCCTTATTATCTGGATTAATCTTTTCTCCTTCTGGTGGAGTGACTGGTGTTTCAACTTGAACATCAATGTGATGTTTTCCTGGTTCTTTAGCAACATATTCAACATCATATGTACCATCTTCATTATCTTTAACTGTAACTTCAGCAGCAATAGTTGGTCCTTGAACAGTAACATTGAACTTTTGTCCTCCATTCTTGAGTTGTTCACCTGCTCTATTTCTTGTAACAATCTTAAATGGTGCTGGTGTTTTTGTTTCTGCATTTTCTAAACCTTCTCCTTCAGCAGTACAATTAAGAGCATCAGGAATTTCATCAAAGACAAGTACATCAACTGGTGTATTTTCTACTGGTTCATCATTAACAAGAACTTCAATTTTATGCATTCCTGGAACAACTGGAGTATAACCAACATCATAAGTTCCATCTCCATTGTCTTTGACTTCACATGGAACTTCATTTCCTTGTGGATCAATTACTTTAACTTTTACATCATCTCCTCCATGTCCAAGATCTTTACCATTATTATCTTTACCAGTAATTTTGAAGTCTGCTGGAATATTAACTTCTCCTGTTTTAAGTCCATCTCCATCAACCAAAGAAGTTGATCCTCTCATTTTCTTTGGTTTGAATTTAACGGAAACATCAAGATCATGTTTTTCAAGAAAAGCTTTTAATTGAAGAACTAATGGTTCTACATCAGCTTCTGATTCAATATTGAAATTAGGTGGTTCATCTGGATTAATTTGTGGTTCTTCTGAGTTGACTTGTGGTTGAACTTGTTCTTCAGTCATGAGTTTTGAAATATAAGTTCAGATTATAATCTCTTAAATCATCAATCTTAAACACTCCTTTTCGTTTAAGCTTTAAAATATATTTTTAGCTTCTTTTTCACGTTAAATAATTTAAAGTTCTTTATTATTTTTAAGTTTTACCTTGTGGTCGTGTCAAATTCGTAGATGATTTTGAAAGTATCTAGTTCTTTTTTGTTTTCATTAAAAGAAAATCTTAGAGAAAGAAAGTAAGAAAATACAGGTAAATTAAGAAAGTTAAGATAGAAGGAAAAATATGAATGGTATTTTAAGTGAATCAAAAAGAAAAGAAAAGCCATTGATATAAATAATAATCAATAATAAAATCTAAAAAACAGAAAGAAAGAACAAAATCAACAGTTAATTATTAAAAAATGAAAAATGAAGGATTGGAATAGTATCAAATGAAACATATCGTTGAACCATTGTTGGGGTTTTAGTAAATATATCATGACCATCAAAATACCAAACAAAATCTTTATTCATAAATCCATATTGTTGTGGGTTTTCAAGTTCATTTAAACTCATTTGACGAATTTCTTCCACAAACAATTTATTCAAATTTAAAATTTTATAACCTTTAAATCCTTTTTGAACAATTTCATCGAATTTAACTCCAATTTTTCTTAATAAATCTTTATTATAACATTTACCTAATGGAGTTTTTAGTTTAGTAATTCGTAACATTTTTACTGTTTTTTTACTTGATTTTGTTTGTTTAAATTCTGGAATAAATTTTCTTTCCATAAGGATTTTAAGATATCCATTACATGTCTCTGCTTCTTCTGATCGTTTTTGTTGTTTTAAACTCATTGTTTCAAATTTTATATTTCCTATTGGCCATTTCTTTTCTATTAGTAATTCTCTTCCTTTTTCTCTTATTGTCTGTGAAGTAAGTAATTCTCCATCAATTGTAATTGTATCTACTACATATAACTTTACTGTTTTTTGTGCTTCTTTTGTATATTTTAATGATGCTGATGCTCCACATTCACTTAATAAGAAAAATAAATATGCATTAGAAAATGAAGCTTCTTCATCTCTACTTTGACGCTTTTTCATTCTCATAAATGACGCTCTTCCTATAGGATTTTCACTTATTTCATTTTCCATTCTTCCAATTAACACTTCTACAAAAAGAACAAAAAAATTAATTATCTTTTTTTGTTGTTAAATTAGTTAATTTTTAATATTTTATAATAAATTATTAGAAAATAAAATAAATCATAAAAGTAAATAAATAAAAAATTATTATTTTTAATAACTTTTTTTATTATTTTTTATTTTTTATTCATAAAGAAACTTGAAAAAAAGGAACAGTGAAATGGATTTCAATGTCAATGGATTTTAGTGATTTCCATATTAAACGACGTAAAGACACTAAGCCAGGAATGGTTCAATTAAAATGTGAAGGACAAACTATTAATATTATGTATATAGAATTAATATCACCATTTTGTGGAAATACAGTATTAGGGAAATTTATAATGTTGCCAACAACACAAGACAAGTTAATAAGGTTAAAAAGTTGTCAAGTGGATATCATGCCATTTGAAAGGTTATCAATTTTGATTAAATATATTCACGCAAGAAATCATCATCAAATCTTAGAAGATTGTAGTCAAGAAGAAAGAGAAAAAGTTGCAAAAGAGTTAAGGTTATGTGAAGTTTCATTACAAGACACTTTAAAATATACGTCATTGGAAAATGAAACATTAACATCAAATATGTGGATTAGAAATTGTTTTTTTGGAGACGTTGATATTGCAAATGTAATTATTAAACATGATAATGATAGAAGAGTGATTGTTGCTTTTGATACTGTTGCACAGAATGTTGGGTTAGATGTACTAATTAATAATTGGAGAGCAACAGCAGAATTATTTACAGAACATTATTGTGGAATGTCATTAAATGATTCATTACAACGATTAAAAATGTATTATATAACACAAATGAAATTAGGAGAATTAAATGATTTTATGTGTGAAACTATGATAACATTAGATAAAACAAAAGAATATAAAAATGAAGTAGAAATTGCAATTGGAAAATATCTTCAAGAAAAAGGTTCATCATTAAATAATATGGTTAAATTAATTGAGTATTACAATATTAATGTAAATGAAGCAAAGTCAAAAGCAATATCCTTTTTCTTTAATTTTGAAATACCAGCAGAAATTATTACGAAATTATTTAATGACATTGGGAGAGCAGAATGGAAGATTACAAAAATAAGAAGTACAGAGGAAAATATTGACTCTTTAAAGACAAATGATGAAAAGATATTAATATTTTTAGATTATTATCATAATGTTTTCGGAATTTATTTACCTAATGGATTAGTTGAATCTGATCAATCAATTTGTTTATTTACATTAAGAAATAATAATAATATTCCATATACTTTTATAAGTTCAAAAGAACAAGTTCATCTTTCTTTAATACCTGAAGGTGCTTTATGGTCATTTGCTATTAATTCTGTTATCTATTTTAGACTTCTTTCTCCTTTTTGTATTTCTATTGGAGATATTGATTCTTGTTTTAATGAACCAACACAATTAAATGAAATGTTATTCATGGGTACTTCAGAGGCTATGCTTAAAGATATAATTGTATTCGAGTAATTTAATTCAATTATTTTTATTTTCGTTTTATATAACATAAAATAATATATTTTTCAATTTGTTTGTATTTATAACAGGAAAAAATTATTTGTTATTTTGGTTAAAATTAAAATCAAAACGAAGAACTTTAAAATCATTTTCCTTCGATCAAAAAACTAAAGTTGCATTAAAAACTCTAAATGATTTCTCAACGCTAAAGAACTTATAAAATAAAGAGTTAAAGAAAGAATAATGAGATACAAAAACCAAAAGAAAATGAAAACAAAAACTAAAAAGAGTTGAAGGAAATAAAAAAGCTAAAAAAGGCAAAGAAAAGGTGAGAGAACTATATAATATCTGAATCTTAAAAGATGTTCAAACGAAAAAATAATGTCCCAACCACAATGGGTTCTTACCCAAAAGAAAACATTTACTAAATGGGCAAATGTCCAATTAAGTGGAGCATATGTTATAAATGATGTTGAGACTGATTTAAATGATGGATTGATCTTAATATCATTATTTGAAGCTTTAAGAAAACAAAAAGTACAATTCAGATATAATAAGAAACCAAAGATGAGAGTAGCTAAATTAGAAAATACAGAACAAGCATTAAATTTCATTAAAGCTGATGGAGTTAAATTAGTTAATATTGATGCTCAAAATATTGTTGATGGAAATTTAACACTTATTCTTGGACTTCTTTGGACACTTATTCTTAAATATCAAATTGCTCAAAACAAAATGGATGCATCAAAGAATGCATTACTTGAATGGGTTAACTCGAAATTAACATCAAGAAAAATTAAAAACTTCTCAAATGATTGGAATACAGGTGATGTATTAAATGAATTAATTCATGCTCTTGAACCAGACTTTATTGATTTAGCTGATTCAGCATCAAAAGGAGAAGGAGAAGAAAGAATTCAATATGGATTAAGTATTGCAGAAGATAAAATGGAAATTCCAGCAATTATTGCAGCAGAAGATATGGCACTTCCAGAACCTGATGAATTATCTGTTATGGCATATGTTTCTTATTTCAGACATTATGAAGCTGAAAAAGAAAAGAGATTAGGAGAAGCTGAAAGACTTGCACGTGAAGCAGAGTTAATGAGAACACCAGATCCATCAAAATGTGTTATGTCAGGACCTGGACTTAAAACAGGAGAAGTTCTTGTACCACAAGAATTTACTGTTACAGCTAAGAATTGTAAAGGAGACCAAATTACACAAGGAGGAGTTACATGGAATGCACATGTATTTGATCCAGAAGGAAATGAAATTCCAATTG